TTTTTTTTTCACCCCCCCCCCCCCTTTCAAATGTTGAAAGATACTTTGGCTGGTTGGCTAAGTTCAATCATTTGCAGTTAAACTCTTTACCTCAGTCACTCAGTGTTTACCCGTCTGACCACGGTTTAACTTAACCAGTTAAATCATTTGTAGTTTTGAAGTTTTACCTCCATGTTTGCCTTTGGCTGGTTGGCTCGCTAAGTGAAATCATTTGCAGTTTAGCTTTTACCTCAGTCGCTAGCTGTTTGAATGATTAAAATTTGTAGTTTTTTAACTTTTACCTCCATGTTTACGTTCGGCTAGTTGGTTGGCTAAGTGAAATCATTTGCAGTTTAGCTTTTACCTCAGTGGTTAGCTGTTTGAATGATTAAATTTGTAGTTTTTAAAATTCTCCTCCAGGTTTGCCTTCGGCTGGTTGGTTGTCTAAGTGAAATCATTCACATTTTAGCTTTTATCTCAGTGGTTAGCTGTTTGACCATAGGTTAACTTAACCAAACAGTGGCTTTCAGTTAGAGGGGAGTTAACATTCCATGTTGAATTGTTCAAGAATAGATTGAGCCTGGCTTCTTTGGCAGGCACCAGTAGTGAACTAGGAACGTGTCTTTTCTTTTTTTTCTTTTTTTTTCTTTCTTTTTTTTTTAAGAAAGACATGCTCCAATCTATTCGTGGGGAGCAACACGTGCTGGGAACCGGGCCCAGCGTCCCATTCAAAAACCTATTGAGAAGATTTATGAAAGATTTATGAAAAAACTTGAGCTAGGAACGTGTTGAACTAACTTCAAAAATATGCAGCAATCCTAACCCTGTTCTGACTGTTTAATGTTTAATTATAACCCTGGTTTGAATTAAGCCCGGCTGTTAGTTTCAACATTTTTAGTTTTAGCAGATTTAGGATCATTTAGCAGATTAACAAGCTTACCAGACTTGTCAACTAAGTAATCATAGAGATTCAAACTTCGAAGTTCGAAGTAAGTTTTTTTTTTTTTTAAATTAAATACGGAAGCCCAGGCAGGGTGCTGACAGTTGCATATGCCCATTTGCTACTTTTGTGTACACCGGCCTTGAAGTATGACCGTTTTTTTTTTTTTTAATTAAAAATACGGAAGCCCAGGCAGGCTGCTGACATTTGCATATACCCATTTGCTACTTTTGTGTACACGGCCTTGAAGTATGACCGCATACAATCGCAGAATTTGCAAATTTTGTGGTACTTGCTACCAGTGTGACTATGCCTTTTGACTCCATCAGGGTTCGAAGTTCATACTTATGGTTGTTTATCAGCAGTTCATGGGTGTGCCAAACATGGGATACTCACACAGGGACCTGATGACCTGAAATACTGAATTTGAGGCAGTTTTCGGGTCACATTGGGTCCACCCGGGACCCTTTTGCATGTTATGGGGACCCAATTGTCAGCGACCTGCGAGGCTGCTGTAGGACCCTATTCGAAGCCACCTCACAAATTCCTTTTTTTTATTTTTTCATTTTCCCGAAGCAGGGGTCCCCTATATAGTCTTAGGAGTAGTGGTAGGAAGGTAGTGAAAGGCAAAAAGAATTTGAGAGAAGAACATTAAAAAAAAAAAAAAAAAAAAACAGAAAGTTTTTGTGTCAGATCCCACTGCGGAACCTCCCCCCGGCTCGTGCTTAGTTCCTTACCCTCTTCATGCAACCTGCAGAAAAGTGTGTGATCGATCAAGGGGACAGGAGATTGCTGGTCGGAGCTTACCCCCAGGACAGGCTGGAAGAGAGGCAAGGGGTGTACATGAAACACGAGAGTAATTGGGTTTTTCATGACGATGCTGCTTTCATGTCCAGAAATGAAAAGATAAAATGGATATGTAAACAGCTCGAAGGGATGAAAGGGTGCCCAGAGGCTGTACAGGAGTTCTTCCTGATACAGCCCATCTCCTCGACAATCTACACAATACTGAGTATGTTTGAACAAGACAAGAAATGCATGGACGCGTTGAAGAGATCGAAAGTCCAGGTCTACCCATGGCTCCCCAGAAAACTAACCCCCGAAGAGAAAAGAGAGCAGATGATGCGGGAGCACTTCCGGGTAGAGCTACGGCACATTCCGGTAGAGGTGCAGGCAACCTTTATACACGTATTTGGTCAACAGTGCAGTATAATTGACTTTATTGAACCCCTCCTGGTGTATGTGGCAAAATGCGACGAATATGTCATGCTGGCCCTGGACCTCCCACCTGGGCAGCCGTTCTTATTGGATGATATTATCCCATACAAGGTGGGAGGCAAGCTGTATCAGATTCACACGGCTCATAAGCTGAGGCCATGGTGCTTCAAATGCTGCGCTTATGGGCATCAATGCTCAGATACTGCTTGCCCCCACCAACCGCTCAGGCGGAAGCTAATCAACGCCCGCCTACAAAGGGACCCGTTTACAGCACACAAGTGGCATACAGTGAACCCCGGCCATGAAGGCTGGGCTTTCTTGGAGCGTATCGAAGGGGAGGAGGAGGCGAGCGCCCGATTGGGATGGACATGGGAAGACCAAGAGCAACCAAAACAGGAGACACGCCCCCTGGACACCTGGACCCCGCCTCAGCACCCTCAAACCAAACAATTAATCCAGCCCTGTGCTCGACCGGACATCAGGGGGAAAAGGGGTAAGGAAAATGAGACGCAGGAGAACCAGGAAAGAGGAGCGATTGATAATGGTAGCTAAAGGCAGGCTGGGCGGGGATGCCCCCCGTAAAGTGGGCGGACGAGATGGGGAAGGCAAAGGCAGAATGAGCAGATCAGGAACGGGCAACCACCCCACCCAACCGTTGGGGAGCTAAGGGGGAAATAGGTACGTGGCGCTCCAAGAGGGAGGGGGGGGTCAGGGAGGTGGGGGGGACCGGACCGACATTTTTTAGGATGCCTTCGGGGCAACCCCGATGGACATTGAAGGTGGGGGAAGAAGGGATGGGGGGTAAGAAACGCTAGCGGCCACCCCCCCCCCCCTGGAAGATGTGGTGATGCGAGAGGCAGGGGGACCGGACTTGGATGCGGGTCTCGCGGAAGAGTTCTGGGATGATACATACAGGGGGCTGGTCCCCCTGCTGGAGAATAGTGGGAGCCTTAGAATGGGGCTGGAAAAAGGGTTGCCACAAGAGGTGCAATGGGAGGACGTAGCCCACAAAATCGCGCATGCGAGATTCTGCCCCCCCTCACCTGGCCGAGGGATATCCACAGAGAGGACAAGTAGGTGGCCAAAGGGAGAAGAGGGGAAAAGAGGACCAGGAACGTGAGTCAGGTGGGGAAGGAGGGCTGGAAGGGGTCGAAATGGAAACAAAGGCCGCAGGGAGACTCTGAGAAGGGGTAGAATTGACACTGCAAACGAGGCTGAGCCGAGAGGTGCAGGTGGCGCTGGCGGATGACCCGGCCGGGGGACGGGGCCAGTGGGAACGAGGGGAACACTCTGGAATGGTGGAGGGAGGACAGGGAACATTGGGCCTATAGAGGGAAGGGATGAAGAGAGGCAGCAAGATGGTAGGGAGGAGCAGCAGAAGAAGCAGAATACTCCACTGGCCAACCCGGGATGGCAGGAGGCACCATGAAGTGGAACACAACCTCCCCCGCCACCGCCCCCACCTTCCCCTTCCCCGACCCCCTGAGGA